ATAGCCTGAGCCCCTCTGACCATATACCAGTCACTTTTTGTACCATAACCTGTGCAATGGGCAAAGTTTTTTTCTATTACCATTGCTTCATGTGACCATTTAATCTTTACGTTTACGTGGGTGCGTAATGACATGATTCCCATGTCAGGATGTACTGAGCACCATTAGACTGTGCAAAAACTATTTACTCCCCTCTGCACACTGGGCTGCTGGAAACTAATTACTTTATCTAAGCAAATCATAGTCTGTGATTTGTGTTATCTGTAATGGTAATGAGGGTTTTTAAAATATGATACAAATTCAAAACTCGCTGTTGTGTGTCACCTATATTTTAGGGTAAAATCTGTCTTAGACAATGCGCCTTTCAGAAACCTTTCTTCCAAAATTCCCCCAGAATACCCTGCTGGATAAGCAAATGAACACAGACAGGTATCATGTTTCAGGATTGTGTTTTTATGTGATCCAGAATGACCTTAAGCCAGCCATACACTGTACAGCTGAAATGCCAAAATCCAAGTGATCCAAATATATATTCTATACAGCCATGTGGAAACCATTGTCTGAACATGTTGAGATGATCAGTGTACCTTCACAGGAGTATGAGTTACAGAGTGGAATATTGACATCATTCCGGCCAGTCAGACGTGTCGAAATCTTTGCATTTACCTGGTATATTTTTATTGTTTTTAAAAAAAATTTTTTATTTGTTTACTGGGTAAATTTGTTGTTTTGCATTTTGTTTGATTTTCATTGATAAAGTGTTAACATTTTATTGATTCGTCAACATCCCAAGGTGAAGTGTCTTCGTTATCCGCTTCACCCTTGCAGAGGAGCTCTCTACAAATCTCCCAATCTGATTTCAGATGTTGCAGTCTTCATTTTCTGACAGTAAGGCTTATTCCTAGGTAGACAGTGACAAATGGAGTAATGTCTTCACAAGTACACATTGAAACTGGAGATGTCCAGAGAGTCCAAAGCAAGGGACGCCAGGCTTGACCTACAATCGACCCTGATTTCTAAGGACATTTGCCATTCTATACCATATCACTTTTCAGACTGGCTATTTTTATTTTTTTCACTCTGAATTTAATGTTTGTTTTCTCTTGTGTAGTTTTTTTAAAACAGAACGTCCACTTCCGGCTTCTTCATTTATCTGTCTAACCTACTTCTACCTACCGAACATACCGCTATTCTACCCGCTAATTATAGATAGACATAGATTATGATTATTACAGATGCTCTGACATTTGATGCAATGCAAACATTAAGCTTTTGCATTGAGAACATTTCCAATTTTCTCTTTATATTATTACCCACTTTTCAAGTTGATATGCGTTTTCAGAATTAAAACACCTTTTGCAGTTGACGATCCCGTCGTACCTGTAACAAACACGGATTACATGGCGCTGACCTTCTGCACGTACAAATGCATGGTATCAACTAACGTCTGTCCATTTATTTGGAAGACATGGTATGGTGCAGTTCAATGTCTCATTATCTGTTCCATTTAACACCAAATTATATTAGAAATGGCTATTATAGTTTCCTTGCAAACTACTTAATACCTAAACACCTTGACTGAGAAGTTTTTATTAAAAAAATAATACAACATTTATTTGAAATCCAGAGGTACACAGGTTTTTCATAAACATTTAATAAAACAGATTAGATCAGAATAGATTACTATTCAATGTCACCCAAAAAATAATATAGGTACATTTTTAAAGTTCTAATCTTTAGTATATTTTGTTCATCCTTTGCAGAAATAGCAAAGAGAGAAAATATGCAAGTTCCCAAAAATAGCTCAGGGATATAAAAATAATTTCTAAACAAGAGTATAATGCCCAAATACATTACAGTTACACCAATTTTTATTGAGGTGCAGGACATTATATGTTGCTGTGGTCTTTAAGGTATACCTGACGTGTACTCTGTGTCCTTGTACCCTACCCTACGCCTCCTCTATGGCTGCTTGAATTTAGAAATGATTTTTCAGCAAAACAGTTTCTGTAATTTAGGGAGATGGAGGGATACTATTTACAGTCCCTCTGCAGAGATGTAGAATCATATATTGATGACTTGACAGAGAAATCTAGTTCTGTGCATGGTAAAAACCAATGAAAGATCAACGAGGAAGCAAACCGGGTCCTTATTGGAAAATTCAGCTTTACATTGCTTGGTAATCACATTGTTGGGAACTACGGAGTTAATTAAAGTAAAATTTGTTTTCATTGATACACTCCTTCCTAAATCCTAGTAATTTAACATTGCTTCCCAAGTGATCGCTTAGAATTTTTCAAGCTAAGCAGCTGACCTGTCTGTTTTGATAGTATTTTAGTTTCTGGTAACCTTAAAACCTGACCTGTAAGTGATCAGTCAATCCAAAAATTGGATTATGTTAGAGTTAATCTATTGATCTTTAAAAACAATCTGAAGTAGAGAATTGTATTTTTTCTCTTTGTAATGATTATCAAGTTTCAAACTATCCTGTGGTTGTTATAGTCTAGCATGGGAGATATTTTGCAGTTGTGCAATTTGTCATCCTCTATAAATGTCTCTGAAACCTTAAATAATGCTTGGTATATTGTTATTTCAAACAAACAAAAAAGAAATTCTCAGCCCTAACTGTATGAGGTATTAGTTAATTTACTTTTCAAAATGTATCCCTTGCTAAAGTAGCTTACTTATCCTAACACAGTCTGAAGACTCTCAACCTCCAACCAATTGGCATCATTATGTCAATGCTATAATGGTGATGAACCGTTAAGACATTGCAGCTTAATTACAGCATTAAATATTATCATTCTCACTATTACAGTATAGGTTCTGCAGGTTGCAAACATTCGGAGTTACAATATACCTCATTTTAAAAACGCACCAAACTAAGATGGATATAGTCTCCTAACCACAAGTAACCCCTAACCCGTTGTTTCCCTAACCCTAGCTGACGTTATAAGTGGTACTGTAGCAACGCTAATTGTAAAGCATAACCTTTGCAGTGCCCTTCTTGAAATGTAGGCACTAATCGCTACATTGTTTAGTAAGGGGAGCTGTGATGTCATTAAATTATGGTTTGGGGTATTCGTTTAATTTTACTACAGAAAAAAAATGTTTTTCTTTATTTTTTACTGTTTGTTCTAGAATTATGTTACATTAATCACGCCTGCATATTCATTTTACCTCGTGTTAGTTTTAGAAACTGAAAACAAAGTGTGGTGTACTGACTGACAGCCAACACAGGCTTCCTTGGAACTGAAGTAAGGTCAAGTCACCTATATAAGTAGACAATATCCAACAAGTGACTGAATGAGGTACAATCACTGTGGAAACCACAGAACTTTTTTTTCGCATATAACCATTGTTTTATATTGATAAATTTTTCACACATATACTAAGAGTCTAATTTTACTAACTATTAGGAAATATACCAAGGAAAAACGTGCAAATGTTGCAAGACGTTCTCTTGATTACCACGGTGATCCAATCTTATTTAGCGCTTTGCCCCAGAATAGCACCCGTTTTTTTGCCCTCTTAAATCTACCCCTAGATCTCATTACACCCCCGATGTGGCTTGCATTCGAAGCCTAGAATAGCCAAGACATGATTTCTATAACATGTTTAATTCATCCTGATCTCACAGCCGTATAAATGGGATGAAAGAATCCTTTTGGATTTAATGGGATACATTTCCTGGTAAATCACATGCAGTATTTTTACTTCAGTTTTGCAAGTAAGAGACATTGATAAATGCCCCATTTCTAAAAACACTCCAGAGGGCACTGAAATTACTTCTTTGCTCTCTGTAGACTTAACAGTCATTTACATTAACACAAACTCTGCTGTAGGTGCAACTAACCGTGAAACGGAGCACTAAACAATTATTACAGAGTGTCAGCAGACCCATATTCCAGAGCTACATCACCTTAAAGGTGGACGTGGGATTTCGATATTAACAGTTCTAACTCCCGGAACTTGCTGGTCTTGTTATGGAACGTGGATGGAAGACAAAGGTAATCATTCTCTGTGATTATCCCAGTTAAAATGTGATAATTCACTCAAAGAAATGTAAAAGTAAAATTGTATTAACCTCTGCTACAATAAAGCCAATTTAAAAAAAAATATTTGTCATATTAAAATTGTTGGGGGTTTTTGACCTCAATTATTATTTTCTAAATTGTTTACCGCAATATCATTCCGGTAATCTGTAAGTATTATATTGAATAGATATATACATAATAAGGATAATTCATATACAAATGAAGCTTTGGTCAGAAAACCTTTAAATAACCGTAACCATAATGATACCACTTTGTGGGCGTTGCAAACTTAGATGTTTACCCACACTCACATTACCTTCCTCCGTAACATCAGAATGTACAACACTAGGTGATGTCATTATCTTCCTATGACTGATATGATGAAATATGTTACA